TCAAATTCAAAAACAGGGTCCCGAGCTCCGTTTTCGACTGGGACTGCTCCTGCAATCCTCTGCCAGCAAAAATGGATCTCGGGAGGGCCGCACACGACGCTCCTGAGCTCCATTTTCACTGGCAGAGGCCCTGCGGGCTGGACCTTCGTTGTTTCCAGGGTGGCCCCATGGGCCAGATCTAAGCACCCTGCAATCCGGATCTGTCCCCCGGTCTTTGAATTTGACACCCCTGTTTTAAAGGAATATCCCTTTTATAATATTGTAATACAGCAGATGTAAAAGGCTGTTTGTTCATTCATTCAATTTATATAGCTGCCTATCTAATGTACATAACTCTGGGTGGCTCACAAAACATAGTTACAAAATACAACTAACCATAAAACCATATTAAAACCATTTTTTAAAAAAAAACAACATAAAAACTATAAGGCATTTGCAATCGATGCACCCATCCATACATCACAAACAATACGGCAATTACGAAAGTGTCACATCACAGCTAGATCCCCAGCATGATGGTAAAATGAAGTTTTTAGTATTTTCTAGAACACAAGTAAGATTCTGGGCCAATCTAATCTAATCTCCATGACGCCCCAAAGATGACATCACCTTGTGGTTACCTTACTAAATTTATTGGGGTGGGGGAAATACACTTGTTTGAGTAACTAGCAAGTCGTACATTGGTTAGAGTGGTTAAACAGGGAAGACAAAGTTGTAGTCCACCCTCAGCTGCATAATCACACAGGATGGCATTGAGCAAATCTCTTCCTTGCATTTCAAGAGATTACAGGATTGTTGTTATGAAAAAATAGCAGGAGAAAGCTCCCTGCTCCTGCACAAAAATAATATTTACAATCCTAGTGTATCCACGCCTACGCATTTCATGTTTTTAGAGTAATCTTTCCCTTACAACCTTTTGATCGCTGGAAAGCATGAAAGTCTTGATTCATTGTGTAGGTTCTCCATGATTTTGGCTAGTTAGCACTAAGGTTGTTTTATATATATCAGGCTGTTGAGTAGACACTATTACTTCCAAGTGAAATACGTTATGCCTTTATATCTTCTGTACAAGAAAATTGCTTTTGGTTGGATTTTGTAAAATATCTTCAATTTCATTTCAGAATGCAATAGACTGTCATATATGTTACACTGTGGATAGGTGCTCCTCAGTTGTGGTTTCTTTGCAAGTGGGAAATTCCTTTAAAATAAAGAACATTTAGAGTTTGAATGTTTCCTGGATAAATGTCAAGAATTTAAAAAAGCAAATGGCTAGCAGGCTTCTATTAAAAAAAAATATGAATGAGAATTCAGCATCTTTTGGGGTCACTGAATGGGACACAAGAATATTATTTCTTGTCTCTTACAGGTTAAAAAAGGCTATTACAAAGGGAAAAAATGTTAGACAGGATGGTTAGTCTTTTATTGCCTTAATTTCCTACTTTCCCATCTTGCAAGAACTTGTAAACTGCTGAATATGAATTAAATTGCTCTTTGTTAAAGAAACTTTGCATTAACACACTTAGAATTAGAATTAGAATGACAGAGTTGGAAGGGACCTTGGAGGTCTTCTAGTCCAACCCCCTGCTCAGGCAGAACAGAATGGTTGATTTGCATTGGCAATTTTTAGCATATGCAATTAGTAGTAAGATTTACGGATTGAAACATGCATATATGGGGCCTACAGTGGCCATGTTTTGCAACCAATATATTGACATTTATGATAATTGATAGCATCGGAGCACTTCTTGAATGTTGTATAGATTGATCTAAATGTGAATTATTATTATTATTGAAGTTAGTCAGTTGTAAAATTAAGTGTGTATGTTGATTTCAATGATGCTCAGAAGTACTAAGCGAAAGTTCAACTACAAATATCTAATAAAAGATTTGTGTTTTGGGAAAAGCAGAGCAGAGGCTGTTGTGTGCCATCCAGAGTTGCTTTTGATAACATGGGAGGCTATATAAATTTGAGTAATAAATAAAAGCAACTGGGCTAAATTGACGTTAGTTAAGATGAGTGTTTGGGAAATTGCTTTTTACTCTATGTGAGAAAAATATCCCTGATATTTTTTGTTATACGTAAGAAAAACTAAACAAGGTGATTATAGGCAACAAAAAGCTTTATTCATCGATAAGAAGGTTTTATCGATAACTACCATGCCCATGATAGGATTCTCTGGAGGAGAATACTTAAACAGCAGACAGGTGAGACTTAAATACACAAGTTGAGGTCTAATGAGCATTATCAAAGTGTGTCCTAGTACAATTATATAAATGCATTAGCGTGATCGATAACAATACTTGGCAATATTGGCCATAGTTGGCTTTAATTAAGCAAACACCCACAGAAATAAAATTCCCTGAAATATTTCTGGGAACTTCAGGTGAATTCCTTTTACATGCATGTCAGGACATATGACATTCTGCAATTTCCCCACAGAAAATCTTCATTTCCTTCTTTCTCGCGGTTAACAATAGCTAGATAATTACTGAATTATCTGTTTTCAAAATGAAATCTATCTTTATTTCTTTACCCAAATAACTCGGAGATTATCCCTATTCTTACACTCCAGCAGAGTTAAGGCAAAATAAGATGCTCTCGGAAAATTGGTTTGTTTCTTCTACTAGCCGTGATAGTCAAATGCCTGGGGCCTAGTGTATGGCTGGGGATAATGGGAGTGGAAGCCAACCTGTCTAAAATTATCCAGTTCAATGGATGTGGTGCCCATTTCACTGAAAGACAAGTAATGTCACTCTCTCCTTTGGGATTTTTTTAGGGTCCACCAGGCTCCTTTGACTTCTTGTTGTTGATGATGGCAGATATCAGGAATGACATTGCTGAGCTTCAAGAGAGGATCTTTGGACACAGGACTCATTCGTCAGCAGAGGAGTTCCCACTACCTCAGGAATTTGCCAACTACCAGGATGTGGACGTTGGATCTGGAGAAGACTATAAACAGAGGACTATACCAGAAGACTCCAGGACATCTGAAGAAGGCAATCATTGAAAAGAAAAAAAAAGGACCTCTGCTTTGGAAAGAGTGAGAAGGGGTTGGGTTTGTGATCCACGGGTCACTTAAGCCAGCTTATTTGCACGCACCTCAGCTTAACAGTAGAAAACAAATCAGTGGATTGTAAGACTCTGTGTCAGGAGAGTTACGACATCCCTTTCCCTAAATGTTATGGCCCAGACAAACCATTAGGCAAGGTAGGTTATTCATGATGCTATATCAAAGTCTTGTCTTGCAGTTTCTTCCTGTATCAAGATTTCTGGCTTCTTTTTTTGCCTCTCAGGATGCTTGGGAATTTTATTTGGAACTTCTTGGGGTACTTTTGAGCTTACTTATATTACCTACCCACACTTCCCAATCTGAAGAAGCCCTACGAGAGGATTAACATACGGTGGTACCTTGGTACTCAGCGTTAATTCGTTCTGAGAGGTGTGACAGGTACTAAAAAGGATGAGTCCCAAACAAACCATATGACCTACCACGTGATCCTTTGTTTTGGGAAGAACTTTCTGACTCTCCGTTTTCCTATGTCAGTGACCTTCCCATCATGGCCGACTTCCTGTCCACCCTCTATGGCTGTTCCCCCTCCTTTTGCAATGACCGTCCCACCATGGCTGACTTCCTGTCTGTTTCTCACAGCCACCCCTCTCTTCCTAAAGCATGCATCAAATACTAAACAAAAGCCGAGTACTGGGACATTTTCACATCAAAATGCATTGAAAATCAAATTTGACAAGTTTGGAAGCAGTCAAGTACCCAGGTACCACTATAGTGCCTTTCTTCTGGATTTAATGAAAGTGTAGGAAGCATGAACTGGAGAGCTGATTGTACAATGGAACACCCATGAGAAGGACAGGACAAAGTCATCTTCATTCAGAACTTTCTTACGATGGCCAATCAGTTGCCTCTCAGGGGCCCACAAAGAAGAGACAGAAAAATGACTTTTCTACCAATCTTCCCCTGACAACCTATTGGCCTCAATTGTGTAATGTTGAATCTTCATCATGAATAGCTTTGATGGTTTTCTCTAGAAAAAAAAATCTTCCTTTTAAGTGGAAACCACTAAAACTGCTCTGCTTTAAAAAAAAAAGCTTTTATGTTGGTGTTTCCTTTAGTGTGGAAGAATTGGTTAGTTGGAGCGCTCAATCATCCGATCCCTCATTGATGCTTGAGGCACTAGAGCTAGTCCTCAATTTATGACTATAATGGAGCCTGCCCATTATGGTCGTAAGTCATGAGGGCCGTAAAGCAGATCACCCACCTAACCGATCAGATTCTGAGTTCTTTTTTTCAAAGAAAATGTTGTAAGTCATGTGACCATAGGACACATCAGACAGCTGTAAAAGTGGGCTGGTTGCCAAACGCCCAAAATGTGGTCATGTGACCACGGGATGTCATCTGTCACAACCAGGATTGCCTGCATCATGCAATAGATTAACAACAGCACATTAAGGACAATCTAACACAGGGGCTATGCTGACTGGAGAATTCTGGGAGTTGAAGTCCACCAGTCTTAAAGTGGCCAAGTTTGAAGACCTCTGATCTAAACATCTGTAACAGCAAATGTTCTGAAAGCAGCAAGGTTGCTCCAGATGCATCAGTGTAACTCTCCAGGCAAAGAAACCTGGATGTTGGCTACAGTACTGTGGCTGGAACGGTTTGTAGATTGCACTGTTAAAAAGTTGTACTCTATTTTAAACATGCACTGAGAATGTATAAAGTTATATAAATGTTTTATTGTCCGACACTTTTTCTTCTGCTTGAATTGGACTCTTCCGTCTTCACCAGAGAGATTACCTTAGCCGTATGCACCTGAACCTAGAACTAGATGCAAAATAAGGTGTAAACCAGGGGTGGGTTTCAACCGGTTCGCGGCGGTCCCTGCGAACCGGTTGGTCGGCGAACCCGGAAGTAAGTAACTTCCGGGAACGGTGAACGGCGCACCCATCCGCCCGCGCTCCTTACCCAGTTTTGACGAGTTCTGCGCTTCCACGCATGCGCAGGACGCGTACAGCACCTGCGCGATCCTCCAGGAGCAGCTGGAGCATCGTACAGACGCTAGTACGCATGCGTGCGCCCCGCGCATGCACGAGGACACCGCCGGCCCCGTTCCAACCGAACCGGTTGGAACGGGGCGAGAAACCCACCCCTGGTGTAAACGTTTACCTGCAAAGTATCCTCATTGTGGATAGTCAGTGTGTGTGAGCTATAAGGTTTGGAAGTAGCATTTCCAAACCTCGTAACTTATCATTTAGTCTTTCTGTAATTAATTCAGCATTTCTTCTTGTAATAGTGCAGCAAGGTGGGTCCCCCCCAGTTGCCTCTTGTATCTTAAGCATTGTGTCACCTGCTAGTGGCATCTGATGAGGGAAAGTCTTTAACTGGAGCTCCACTATCCACCTTTGCTTCTGTTTGGCAGGTCTATTATAAGGAAGAGTTCAACAGGACAATAATGAACCAGTTATTAGAAGCCTGGAATTTTATAGGAAAATTGATGGGAACATGATATGTGCTGAAACTGGAGCGCAGAATCCAGAAGAGAGCAGCTGGCTGGTGCATATGCACACGGCAGCCAGCTGTACCTCTGGGTTCCGTCATGCATATGCACAGCAAACAGCTAGTCCGGCATTCATGCACACCGACTAGATGCTCTTCCAGGTTCCGGCATGTGCATATGCGCCAGCCAGCTGGCCTTCATGCAAAGACCAACTGGCTGGTGCACATGTGGGTGTTGAAACCCAAAAGACAGCAGCTGGCCACCGTGCGCTTGCATGCAACATGCAAGGCCAGCTGTCCGGCACATATGGGCATGACAAAACTGAGAAGAGAGCTGGCAACAGCGTGCATGCCCACATTCGCCATCATGGCCATAGAACAGTGTTTCTCAACCTTGGCAACTTGAAGATGTCCGGACTTCAACTCGCAGAATTCCCCAGCCAGCGAATGCTGGCTGGGGAATTCTGGGAGCTGAAGTCCGGACATCTTCAAGTTGCCAAGGTTGAGAAACACTGCCATAGAGGTTAAACATATGCTCTGTTTAAATCATACCATTGCTATTTTATTAATGCCAATTTAATCAACTATTTTGTAACACTATAACGAGACAATCACAGGTATATTTTTGCTCTCTCCTTTTAAGCCGTAACTTAACATGTCTGCAATAAAAACAGTGGCTGGGTAGAAAAATGCTTTTTAAAACCACTGTCCCAAGGATGCTATGCAATGCTAAGGCCAAATTCCATTGGAAATAATGGGAAATAATTTTGCTTCCCAAAAACATTTCTGCCAATGGAGAAGCTCTGTGTATTTACAGAAAGCTCTGTGGTTTAGATGCGTTGTTGGAAGGATCTTAATTAATACAAGAGTACAAATTGATAAGGCGTGGAGTTTAGGAAGTCTGGACAAACTTTTTCAGCTCATTGGCATACGTACCCTAAAATCAGACACCATTCCTTTCTTTCAGGCGACCACATTTTAAAAGCCAAAAAGGATACTCATATGGTTTGGCACTTTGATTGGAATGACACAAGGAGTGCTTGGAAAACTCAGTTCCTCTGTTACAATCTTTTCCTTTTGTAGGGTTGCTCTGCAAATACAATTATTAGTATTCAAAGCTGATAACTGCATGGAAAGGTTTACCCCCAAGAATGGCTGAAGTCTAAACCTTTCGCCCAGATTCTCCTGAGTTCACAGGCACCCCCTGTCCAATTCTGGTAAAGACAGGTCGTCCGCGACTTATGGCTACAACGGGAGCCAGAATTTTCCATTGCTAAGCAAGGTGGTTGCTAAATGAGTCGCACCTGATTTTATGACCTTTTTGGCACAAAACCAGCTCCCCCCATGGAGTTGGCTTGTCGGAAGCTGAGTTGGGAAGGTCACAAATGGGAATCGCTAAGATCCTGGGATGCAGCGCCCATTATAAATACATGCCGGTTGCCAAGTGTCTGAATTTTGATCACATTACCATGGGGATGGCTGTAAGTGCGAGGACTGGTTGTAAGTCATTTTTTTTCAATGCTGCTATAACTTTGAACAGTCGTTAAGCAAAATACCCTGTTTTCCTGAAAATAAGACCTCCCTGGATAATAAGCCCAATCAGGCTTTTGAGCGCAAGCACTAAAATAAGCCCTCCCCCCAAAATAAGCCCTCCCCGAAAATATTTAAACACATGCACAGCTGGTCCCCGTCATTTCCTCTGGTTGCTTTCCGCGCAAACAACATGAGATGAGGTGAGGCCAGAGGGGGGGAAGGGAGGGGGAAACATGCCCCATGCACCCCATACGCCCTTACCTAACGGCCGCTCCCGCAACCCTAGCCACCACGCCCCTTCTGTCACGTTAACCTTCTGCCGCCACAAAGAACAGGGAGGCAGTGGCGGGACATCTGGTTGCAGTGGAGTTTGGAGTTTATTCAATTTGTAGGCCGCCCTATTCCCCACAGGGACTCAGGGCAGCTGAACAAAAGCCAAGGGAGGGGAAATTACAAAAAGTAAGACAAAAACAATCGGACAATACGAACAATTTA